GGAGGAGGGGGAAGAAGAAGAAGAAGAAGCGGAAGAAGAAGAAGAAGAAGAAGAAGAAGAAGAAGAAGGGAGGGAGATTGAGAGCACACATGTTTGCTTTACGGAGTCAGAGTTATAAGAGTTCAGAATTAAGATATGAAGCATATCTTAAGCACCAACAAAAACCTAGGTAGCATTAGGCAGAGATGTATCATAAGATCCCAATGTTTGTTTTCAGCCCAGACGGTGGGGCACAACAAAATATTCTCTACTACTTCAACCTATAATCCTATCCTATCTAATAAAGAGGGAATATGCTAATTGACCCTCACACCATCGCAAAGATGGCAGCGCCCACAGCCAATAAGGAGGGAATATGCTAGTTGACTGCCACACCCTCAAAGATGGCAGCACCCAGTCCCCTCAGCCTCACCGGGGCGCCTGCCTCTGGAGTGCCCCAGTCCCCTCAACCCCCCAGTCACCCAGGGCTGGCCCAAGGCACAGGCAAGCCTCGGATGGCGACTGCCCAGCTGCCAAGGGCCAGCCCGAGGGACAGGCAAGCCTCGGATGGTGTTTGCCCAGCCAACGCCCGAGACACAGGCAAGCCTCAGATGTTGGCTGCCCAGCCACCCTGGGCCGCCTGAGGCTCAGGTAACCAGGGCCGGCCGAGGCTTGTACTGCCGGCAGCGGCAGCAGCAGAGGTGTGATGGGGCATCACCTTACCCTGATGGATGGGTCACCTCCCACCCTGAGGGTTCCTGGACTGTGAGAGGGGGCAGGCCAAGCTGAGGCACCCACCTCCAGTGCATGAATTTTTATGGACTGGGCCTCTCGTAGTTGTATAATAGTGACTAAGAGGGAGCCAGCTCTTTGCATTAGCAATGGTGAAAATACGATATTTCATATTCACAGAGCCCAAAGCCCAATTCACAGAGGTGGGCAAAAGAAAGCAAGAGAGTCAAATTGCTGGTCTGAGGGATGAGACCACCAAGGGGATAACAAAATGTTCATCTGCATTCTAATATAATAAGAAACACCAACAAAGCAAAATCTCAAGTAACATAAGAATTAAAAAAAAAATATATATATATATATATATGTTGATATTGATTTTTAAAGAGAGAGGAAGGGAGAGGGTTAGAAAGATGAGAGAGAAACATCATATGACAGCTGCCTCCTCATGACCCCTACTGGGGATCGAGCCCATAACTTGGGAATTGAACCATGACCTCATGGTTCCTGGGTCAACACTCAACCACTAAGTCACACTGGCCGGACCAAGAATTTTATTTTAATTTGTGCACATGCACAGCACTGTCCAGTAGAAATTTCTTCAATGATAGAATGCTCTCTATCTATGCTACATGATATGGTTAAGGTAGCTGTGTGGCCACTAAGCACCTGAAACATGGCTAATGAAATACTATTTACAGGGCTATACAGGTTCAATGCAATCCCTATCCAAATCCTAATGGCATTTCTCACAGAAATAGTAAAAACAATCCTAAAATTCCAAATGATCCCAAATAGCCAAAACAATCCTGACAAAAAAGAACAGAGCTGGAGGTATTATACTTCGTAATTTCAAACTATACTAAAAGGCTACCGTAATCAAATAGCATGTACTCGCATAGAAACAGACACACAGACCAACAGAACAGAACCTAGAGGCCAGAAATAAATCCACGCATATTTAGTCAACTAATATTTGACAAAGGAGCCAAGAATATTCATTGTGGAAGGAGAGTTTCTTTAATAAAAGATGATGGGAAAATGGGATACTCAATGCAAGGAATGAATCTGGACCCCTACCTATACCACTCACAAAAATTAATTTGAAATGGATTCAAGCCTTAGGGTAAAGGCTTAGGATTGGGGCACTGGGTAAAAAAGATATGTTTCTCTCATATCAACATTTCTATCTCTTTGTCTCTCCCCCTCTCGTCTACTCTCTCTAAAAATCAATGGAAAATATCCTCAGGTGAGGATTAACAAAAAATAAACAAGTCAATAAATAGGCATAATGTTATATGTCAGTTATATTTCAATAAGCCTAGAAAAAATAAATAAGTGAAGTGAATCCATCCCCCCCCAAAAAAAACCCTACAGATTTAAATGTGTATCATCTTTGCTTTAAAACATTGCAAATAGACAACCTAAGAAAACTTGGTTGGGAGGGGCAATATTAGGCTAATAAAACTGGTGTAGTGAATTTTAATCTTACTTATTTTAAATGAATTAAAATTTAAATAGTCACATGTGGCCAGTGGCCACCATATTGGACAGAACAGATTTTTGAAAGCCCATTCTATATTCTTTACATATATTGACTCATTTAATCCTTACAACCCTATGAGGTTGATACAACTTTATTATCCACATGTATCATATTTTTAAAATTTGAGGCACAGAGTGGTCAATGAATTTGCCCAAATCACACAGCCAGTAAAGCAAGAGGCTGTTTCTTCAAGGGCTGGTTGCACAGCTCTTGCCAAGCTACACATTCTCTATAGCTCTGTGCAGTACACTTCAGGCAGACATCCAGAAATATTTCGTGTTGTTTGCGGACAGATAAAGACATGTTCTACCTGTTTTCCCTGTGTTCTTCATCCAGGTTTTGTTAGAAGACTCACTGTCGAAGCCATCAAGTTTCAGCTCCTGGTACTCCTCGCCGACACGAGCATGCTGGTCTAAAATGTCTATGGGAGACTGGTGGTGGCCCCCGCAGCTGACACTAGACGTCACCCAGTGCTCAGGCCCATAGGCACCTGTGAAAGAAAACAATTCTTCAATCCTCAGGGCTCAATGGTCAGCGAGGGAACACATAAGAAGTAGGAAGCCAAGTCCTACATCTCTCCTGGTACATTTTCCTATAGGTCCCACCCCCAAGACATCAGTGCTTTGGAAACTGGATCCAAGCCCTTTGCTCGATAGGGTAAGAAGAATTAAGAAAAGATAAGTGACTTAAGATAGCTGGGTTTGTTGCCGAAACTGGTTTGGCTTAGTGGATAGAGCGTCAGCCTGCGGACTGAAAGGTCCCAGGTTCGATTCCGGTCAAGGGCATGTACTTTGGTTGTGGGCACATCCCCAGTGGGGAGTGTGCAGGAAGCAGCTGGTCGATGTTTCTCTCTCATCGATGTTTCTAACTCTCTATCTCTCTCCTTTCCTCTCTGTAAAAACTCAATAAAATATATTTAAAAAAAAAGATAGCTGGGTTTGTGATTTGTAATCAAATATTTGCTAACTTTATTGGTCATCAGATTAAAAGAGTTGAACAGAAAGGCTGTCAGAGTTATTCACCAGAAAACACAAAACACAACTCGCAGTTTCTGGGAGTGACTGAACTGGAAAAGGAAAACATTAAAAGCGAAAGGAACACAATACTGGACAAGACGCATCACGAATAATGTAGGCAATGACAGGGTTTTCCTTGGCTAACTGAAAGATTGCCCTCTTTGGCCCGAGTTTGTACACTGGTGTATTAAGGCATGCACTCTCCTCAATCCCCCTCCATCACTGGAGATGGGGCTCTGAGGTCACTTTCAGGTTGGACTCAGCACTCGGATAAAAACTCAGAAATAAAGGAAGAGAATGCAACTGTAACGCTGGCCCTGATGGGTACCAGTGAGGAGCAGGAAAACACACTGCACACGCTTCTCTGCCCCATGAGCCAGTGAACTATTCTGGGGGTGATGTCTATTAAGTTGATTAACAGCTCTGAGATTTCTCTGTCTCCAATCTTTAACTTTCTTGGCATGACAAACCAGGAGTACCTTGTTGGAAAAAAAAATCCTTTGCTAGAAAGATCACAATAAATCTCTTTTTCGGAGTTTAATACAGAGTGAAGTCTAAACTTTACAATATTGAGAAGATCGCATTAGGCTGCCCACTCAATGAAGTGTACTGTGTGTATACACATACATGTACACACAAATGTGCTCCTGGGTTCTTTAGCCTTACATTTCTTCACATCTCAGACAGAAGAGGGTAATGGCCAAAGTGATTTTAGGAGATGAGATCAACCCACCCAACAACCCATATTTTGGAGCCTTGCTCTATACCTCGCCTTGCATGATGGACCACAAAAATACCTCCTGGTAAGTCTCTCTAGTACTAAATAGAGCCCAAACCTGTGCCCAACCCACCACCGTATACTTATTTACAATGGGTTTCCCCATCCCCTGAAGTCTGATTGAGCTCACAACTGAAATAATAATGGATCCATGTAAAGAGGGACAGACACAGAAAATCTTTCTGGTCATGCTAATGGAAGCTTCATGGCTGCAAGAACAATTGATGTAGCTCCCTAAAAATGATTCAGCGTCTTGCTATCTGGCAATTAGCTCTGGTCTCATTCTATGCCTGGGTCCTCATCCAAACAGTAAGATAAAGGACACTATCAGAGAAAAACGTGCTCAATGATTGGCAAAGCCTGAGCAACCTTGGGGCACTTTTCGAAATCATTTACACGTGCCATAACACTCTCTAGCAAAAGCTAGCTGCACCATGTAGTTACTGGAGGACTCCACGACATTTGGAATGATCAGGTCTTCTCACTCATGTCACTTAGCTTCTTGGTCCAATTCCCTGAAGACTGTGATGAGGCCTAAAGGAACAGCGCGCATTTGCCTGTGTTCAAGAAAACTTCACTTTCATGTCGAATCGGTATATTTGAAGGAAAAGGAGAGGGGAAACAGGACCTTAATGAATGGCTCCAATTATCCTGACCACTCTTTACATGCTCTTCCAGATGCCCAAAACACCACAACAAAAAAAACCCACAACACTGAAAAATGGAATAAATTGGAAAACCCATGAGAAACGATGTAAAGTTTATATATTTGGTGGCTAACCAAAATGGTGGTTAGTTACAATTGGGCCTGTATTTTCAAAATATGGAAACTAATGTTTTCATATCGTGTGTGTACGTGAGAGTGATGCCTTTTGAAACTCACCAGTACAATAAGATTAGAAGCAACGGGATTGGGGGTGGGGGGGAATGCATGGTAAAATAAATCAAAACATGTTTGACCCCAAGAAGTAAGAATGCAACCCATCACTTATTGAAACACAGACATCTGATAATTAACAAATAAAACAGAAGATCCCGTGCAACCTCTGAGAAGAACTTGCTGTCTGTATCACTTCTCCTCACCTTCTAGCGTGGGTGAAATACAACTCAGCTCTCTATAAAAATGTAATCGGGGCTCCTACCAGCGGATTCATTTATTCACTGGTAACAATCTGGAGATTTAGCCGACTACATGCTTGCTTTCACACTTCCACCCAATATACGTTCAAATGCAATTTTAATTGAAACTGATCTTCCAGTTCAGATTTTAAATTAATTCTTCTTTGCAGTGCTTCATGCTCCAGACACCCTTGCCTTGCAGAACCCCAATGTCATTAGTGGAGGAAATAGAACACCTTTTCCCAGGCTTGCGGGTATTGATTATCTACTCTCACATCGGAGCTCCCCGGCCAGTCCACACTGTATAAATCTCTTCAGTGTTAAGACACTTTACAAAGGACTGGGAAGTATGTCATTAATCATTTGCTCTTGCACAAGTCTCAGAGTATTGAATGCTTTGTTTTCCAAAACTTTGAATAAATGCTCTCAAGTTAAAAACATGACACTAAATAAAGATTGTGGTTAACTTAAACCTAGATTATCTGGGGGAGGGAAGAAAGAAGACACAAATCAGCAAGAAGCCTTCCTCTCTCAGGTAGGACTCTGCCCTTCTGCTATGAGAAGTGAAAGGCGTTCGCACTTGAGCTTCTCTCGCTGACTTGCTTGAAGGAGCAGGAAATTCACATTTTGGCAGCTGGACCATTTTGAACAGCTCGCCGACTCTTGACGTGGCAACCGAATCTACAAGGCAGGGGCGGTGAGGCCCGGATAGAAACCACAGGCAGTTTGGACTGCCAGGAGCAATTTCCCATGCTGGGACTCACGCAGGGAGCAGATCTTGATGGAGACATACTGCCAACATATCAGTACTAAGAGTCTAACAGTTTAGGTTGAGTTTCTCACTCAACTATGCTGAGAAATATTTTGTTTTTAATGAATTCAACAAATGCATCTGAAACGTCCGGATCCAGATTTGATCCCCTGCCGGGGAGGCTTCTGGGAGAAAGGTGCAGCCGCGGCGGATCCCACTGTCCTGGCAGCGAGTCCTGGTTTCCTTGGACAGCTTATTACTATGCAATTCACTGGCTATGCCTTCGTGTCTGTCTCCCCACGAGGTGGTTATTGTATGGGAACAGGTTCCTTCTCCATCTTGTTCACGTTTATTTATTCTAGTCGAGCACATGGCCTTGCATCAAGATTTTTTTTTGGCACAAATAAATGAATTGGAAGATGGAATTAAAGAATTATACAGTTCTGTCCGCTAAGGACACTATAGCATGTTCCCTGTGCATTATTTTGGCTTTCAGTCTACCTTCTGACTTCTTACTAACTCTTGTTCATTCCCTTCACCTCAAGAATCAGGATGTTAAATTCGAAATTAAATATTCCTGTCCCTACTCACTAATACATTAAATTAGTCTGAATGGTGATAAGGTAAAATAAGCTGCAAATATGCAATGTGCATGCTGGAACCAGCGTGCCACTCTAACAAGCCCACTAAGGGTGACTGTAGAGTTGAAAGGGAAGGAATGTATAGAACTTCGCTTTCAGTGCCTTTTATGAAGCCTGATTATTTTTTAAGTTCTTTTTTTTCTATGTTTTAACAGAGTTCCATAATCAAGGAAGGTCAATCAAGGAGGAAAATTAGTCTTGCTAATCAATTCATCACTGTATGCATTTAAATACTGATTCCACACTTGCTGGTTACCAGACACCTGGCTGAGAAATGGGTGCGAGGGAGTACGGTTGCCCCAGTTCCCCTGGGCAATGAACGCTGCCTGCGGCTCAGGCTTCTCATCTGCACAACAGGGAATACTAATGGTCCGCCTCAGAGGGTGGTGGGAGTGACAGGAGATCACCCACGGAAAGGACGGATAGCAGTGCCAAACAACAGAACGCTCAAGTGCTGCTGCTGCAGTGAACGCCACTGTGACTGAACAACCATGCAGTCAGCCCTGGCAAACCTGGCTACACAATGGAGGAAGCAAACGTGCAGTCCCACCTGGGGCTACGGCAGGAGGAGGCAGGCAGGTGGTGACACGCAAGGAGAGAGAGGGTCCCTCCCTGAGGACAGGACTTAGAGAGGAGGTGACACTTGAGGGCACTCGCTCCCTGGTGCTTCCCACTTGAGCAGAGGACAAGAATCAACAACACGATTGGGCCCCCTGTGAGGTGGACTTGACCCAGCATCAGCTGACTTAGTGACCAGCGTCCACAGAACAGAGCAGGAGGCAGACAGTCAGCAGCTTCCGGCGGAGGAGGCTGGTGCAGGTAACGGCACTTGGGATACGCGGATCATCGCGCACGTCCTGGTGGGAAGTGATAAGAAGACTCACGGCCTCTGTGGGATTCTGTCTACAAATCCGTAATCGTAGTCCAATCACAAGGGAACCATCAGACAAACCCCAACTGAGGAACATTCTACAAAATGCTCGGCCGACATTCCTCCAAAATGCCAAGGTCATGAAAAACAAGGAAAAACTAAAAAAAAAAAGAACTGTCCCAGACCAAAGAAGGCTAAGAGTTACAACAAAATGCAACGTGGCATTCTAGATCGGTGGAACCAAAATGGAAATTGGCGGGAAAACTCAAGAGCTCTGAATAAAGTTTGGAGTTCAGTTAATGGGAACACAACAG